CCTTCCTCATTTAGATGCACCATAGTGCAACCAGGTCTGAGCAGACACAAGCTGGATGCCCCATCTCTGACTGACTAGCTAGTCTTGCTGGATGTTAATTTACACAAGAGCTGTTCAATTGTCCTTTCCTGAGCAAACTCACTTAGGAACTAGCCAGTGTCCAATGATAAGCTAATGGACAAAAATCAATTGCATGAAAGCTGACTCCAATTAAAAAAGAAGTAATTTGGAAGGATATTTGAAATATTTTGAAGGGTTGCATCATTGGTGCCACTGCCCTGTTGTAAAGTGCCACACTGACAGTCAGTTCAGGTTCTAATTTGAGAGTTCCTCTAGATGACCTCTAGATAACAGAGGTCAAAAGTGTATATATAAAAGTGATACAAAAAGGAGATTAGACAAATTCATGGATGACAGGTCCTCTGGAGGCTATTAAAAGGAAGATTCAGATGCCACCTTTTTTGCTCTGCAAGTTTCTAAATCTTTGATTTTTCATAAGCTGGCAAGATATGTCAGGGTAAAGATTGTTCAGTAAACGTCCTGTTTCTTAAATCTTTCATTAGGTATCCCTAACTGACCATTTCCAAAAATAGGAGAGTGGACAAGATGGACGAACAATCACGATCATCCTATTGTTCGAACCATTATTGTGGAAGGGGGTACACCTCCAGTACTGGGGCAAAAATAGAGGCAGGAAGGGCTTGAACTGAATGTTGGGGAGGGGGGTCTTGTCTGGGACCACCAGGTTTGCTATTAGACTGACTAGGAGGAGCTTGCTTCTGAGGAAAGCAGGAGATGACATGATGATGACAAAGGTTGGAGAGGCAGAACAAGTCGTCTTGTTAGCCTCTGTGAAGAGAAGAACCTTTTTCACAGCATCACAGAATGGTTGAGGTTGCAAGGGACCTTTAGAGTTCATCTGGTCCAACCCCCTCCCCCCCCCGCTCAAGCAGGGTCACCTAGAGCAGGTTGCCCAGGACCATGTCCAGTTGAATTCTTAATATCTCCAAGGACAAAAACTCCACAACCTCTCTGGGCATCCTGTTCCAGTGTTCAGCCAGCCTCACAGTGAAGAAGTGTTTTCTCATGTGTAGATAAAATTTCCTGTGTTTCAGTGTGTGTTGTTGTCTCTCATCCTGTCACCAGACATCACTGAGTATATGGCTCTGTCTTCTTTGCATCTTTCCACCAGATATTTATACACATTGGTAAGATCCCCCCGAGCCTTCTCTTCTCCAGACTAAACAGTTAAACAGTTTTGTATTTGCCAAACAGCTTTTTTGGGGAGGAATACAGTAGCAGAGGCCTGGGTTCATGAGGTGGACTGAACTGCTAAGACAGGTCCCTGTAGTTCAGCCATGCAGCCATAGGTGCCTTTAGGTGAACTGCAACTGTAAAACGTTCCTGAAACAAGGCCTGACAACCAGGGTATCGCCAGTAATTTGCTGTCCTTGTACAGTATGTATAGCCCATATACTCAAAATGTACCTGAAGACAGAGTATGTGTAAAAACACTATGAATATATATGTAGATGATTTTGGATCTAACACTGATGATCCTGAAACTGAAATCTCATCATAATTTTGGTATCTGCACTTTAAGAGAATGCTGAAATATTGAAGAAGCAGCAGAAAAGAGGCACAAAAATGACCGAGAGAATGCGGAAGGTAATTTACAGTGAGAGGCTGAAAAACCTCAACCTGTTTGAGGTTGTTAAAAGCTAAAATGGTTTTAGTGCGGTTGATATATTGGACACCGAAGGGCTGTCTTGAGAGAAAAAAGCAGAATCCTGGGAGTGTAAATTGAAGCCTGATAATTCCAATCAGAGACGAAGAACACTTTTCTAATCATGAGGGTGAGAGCTGCCATTGGAACAACATGAGCCTTCGTCTCCTCTGCTCTTCTACCCAAGGCAGTGCTTCTGTCCAGCAGACATGCCCTAGTCAAACGCAAAACTCGCTGTCCTCGATTGTTATGTCGGTTTTATCTCCCGACTACCTGGGATTTTAGGTTCAGGTGAACCTAGCTGGGTACCACAACATCGTCTCCTCCAGCCCTTTCTCCCCTGGCCTCCGTACGCTCCTTGAGGGCCACCCACTGCAAGCCTTCCCGTATTTAGCAGGCAGCCTCTGCTTGGCCACTGCTAGTGACAGAACCGTTTTGTCGCAAAACGTGCATCTCCTTCCCAGACCACAGCCCGGGGTTGGGTGGGTGGGGGGG